ACTCGTGAGTACATAATATTTTGCACAGATATGCAGTAGCCCTTTAAACCATGTCTGGCTCTATTTCATGCAAGCCAATTTTCGACATGTAGGAATTTAATTGCAAAAATAAATAAATAAAATGTATTTGTCAAACACTGAGAACAAAAATTCCATTTGAGGACTTATTTGGAAAAAAATATATTTGAGAACTAAATAGTTTTTTAAAAATTTAAAGGGATTATAAATAATATATTTTTAATGGGTTAGGGTTGGTATAATTCGGATGGCAATGGTTTGGATATGGGTTTGAAGAGTGACCTTTTAGATAGATCAGGTGTGACTATAACATATTTTAATGGATGCGATATGGAATTGGCTAACAGGTACTGAACCTATTACCGTCCTTACATCCATCTTTCCCCTGAAATCCTTCCAAACGAATGGGCTACTTAATTTTTATTTTTATTTTTTTCCGGAAAAAAACGATCCATATAATGCATTATTTCAGTCATATTACCGCAGAAAAAATCAATTAAACATAATCTTTAATTTTTTCATATTTTTAAATATGTCTTTCTATTATTTTTTTCCCATCAAAACTAATGCCCACATGGATTATTTTTAAGTATGAATTGACCTAATTTTCTTTTCAAGAATATGCAAAAGAAACCGGTTTAAAAACTATGTAAAAAAACATATAAATGGTTTAAATAAAAAATTTTGTCAGAAAAAATAACTCTTGAGCATAATAAAAATATGAATAAATTAAAAATTACAGTTAATTATTTTTTGTATGCAAGCATCTTGACAGAAGAAACAGGTAACAAGGACACAGTGACAGATCGCTCTCTCTCTCTCTCTCTTCCAATTTACCATCGCACCCAACAGGAACATTACCAGTAACCTAAAACTCTAACACCAGTTATTATTAGGCCAAATTTTCAATGCCGTTTAAATGCCGCTACCTGCTTTCAATGCTGTTGCCTTTTAAAACATGACACGTGGCTTATACTGTTAAATGAACACGTGACCAAATGGGAAAATCGGTTGCCCATTCCAGAAGATAAAAACTCATTTCACTCTTATCCAAACAATAATTAAAAATTAATTTTTTTCTTCTCACGTGTTTTTTTTTTTTTTTCTGCCGTTCCTCCCAAAAGGAAATACCAAATATAGGATAAGAGAGCGCGCGCAATGTTCCAAATGGGAGAGAGGCGGAGTTAATTATAAGTTAGTCTCTGCAGTTTAACAAAATTAATGAAATAGTCCTTATAGTTTCAAAAAGTATTATGTCATCCTTATATTTTTAAATCCACTACTTAATTCTTTCCTTCAATTTTTTGTTACTTTTCAATTTTTTTTTCAGAGACATGAAAAAAGAAAAGAATATATAAGTATGTGAAATGAGAAATTTTGATTAGAGAACAAGATATTTTTTGAACAAAAAATTACTAAATCAAGTATGGTCAATGTAAGAAAAATTATTAATTAATTATTTTTATACTAGAGAGGCTAATTAATTAATTTTGATTAATTACAAAAAGCAAGTTGTAATTAACTCGAAAGAAGAGAGAGAAAGGTGAAAAATGAATTGCTCCAAAACTTTGAATCAAAATTAAACCGACTCTAAAAATAATTGTTTATAATAAACACAGGACTTTTGAGGCTTATGGCGTAAGCTTTAATTTGATATATGCATGACATAGTTTCCATATAAATACTTCTAGTTGCCATTATCGAGCGAGCACGAGTTTCATTCGAAAATTTAACTTCAAATATGAAAAATTTTAACCATTTTAATTAAATTAAATCCCATCACATATTATTCCATGTTTCGAGCTTTGATTTTATATATTATTTTATGATTTTAACTGAGTATTTAGTTAAAAATCGAAACAAGACAATGACCTAATTAAATAAAATTGGGTTTACAATAAATTCTTAATTGCTCTTGATGTTTTCATGCTTTATTCTAATAGTTGATGGGAATTATAGGAAAAACATTACTGTATTGTTTAATCTTAATGGATTTTTAAAATATCGAACAAATTAGTATAAAAAAGACATAATAATTGAATTTATATGAATACATAATAAACACAATTAAAAATACAAGGACATACTGAAAGTAGACTAATTATACGAGGGTAAATTGAGTCATTTACTTAATACAAAATTTCATCTTAGTGTTTGGTATCATTATATCACATAGAAACTAATGTATTTGTTTGATGCATATCATCAATAATATCATTATCTATTAAGTAATATATAAGTAAGTATCAAAACGAAAAACTAAATTGCAATAAAGATCATTTAAGATCAACATGCAACGTAATTACGCTCATAAAATTTAAATAAATTTTGCAAGTTTAGTAAATTGGTTGGAGAAGATTTAGAAGAGAGCTGTGATGCGGGTCAAAATTTATATTCTTATAACTCCATGGACTAATTAGTTTTTTTTTGAGAATAGGTGGTCAAGGAAAAAAAAAAGTATTTCCAACTGTTGTTTGGTTATTAGAAATAAAATATTAAAAATGAAAATACATAACTTAAAAATAAAAACTAGATAATCGAAATAATAGTTTTATTTCAATGTTGTGTTTGAAATAGTAACTCAAAATCATAATAAAATTTAAAATTTTTAATATATATTTTTTAAAATTTTTTAAAAATAATAATTTCAACAACTATGATAATAGTAAAAATGATAAATGTGATTGCAATAAAGGTGAAGGCGGTGGAAGAAAAAGAGAAAAAGAGGTGGAGGCGGTGACGGTAATAGTAATATAGTAACACAAATAATATTTTTTTATATAAAAATCGATAATATCACTATAACATGTGGCAGCCAAAAAAGAGTATTAGTGGTTGCTAGAAGTGAGCACTATTTGATTTAATTGAAAAAATGAATCAAAATATCAATTTTGGTTCGATTTTTAACACACACACAAAAAACCACATTTGTTTCATTTCTCAATTCAGTTTCGTTTTTGAAACTTTTAGTTTTGTTAAAATTGAAAACCCATTTTTAATTTTTTTTCAATTTTTTAAGTTTTTAAATAATACAAAAAAAAAAATCAATACCTTAATATTATTATAGATACATGATGGATTAATTGTATTTCAAGACTATTTATATTATTTTAAAAAATAACAAAAAAGTATTTTAAATAAAAAAAACCAAAATTTTGGTTTTGAAACCAAAAAACCAAATAGAAATTCAGTTTTTTTTTTATATGTTTGATTAATCAAAAACTGAACTGAAATTATTACAAACCAAACCATCACATCTAATGGTGGTGGTACTGTAATAGTGGTAGGAGTGATGGATTAATAAAAATGATAATGATGATAGTGACAACAATAATAATAAATATATATATACATTTTTTATGACCATCGTGGATGGAGATGGTGGCATAGGTGGCGAATGTGATGATGATAGTAGAAATAGTTAATTCACAATAAATAAAAATAATATATCATTATTTTGAAAAAGAAAAAAAAATCCGTTCTCATTTTTTAGTTTTATTCTTACCTTTCTTCATCAGCATGGAACTATGTTTAATTTTTATTTTTTTCAACTTTATTTTTTTAAATCAAATATTTACATAGTGAGGATAAAATTTGTCATTTTTATTCCCACAATTCTATTCATTATCATAAAAAAGAAGAAAAACCTGGTACATAGGTTAACGGTTTCTTATTTATTTTATTGAATGGATGAGATTAGGAATGATAATTCAACCCGTTCCATCTCACCCCGTCCTGTTTGAGGCAAGAATGAAGCCTTTTTACTTTTTAAAAAAGTAATTTGATGGGGTCTCATTCTACCCCGCCTCGTTTGAGGTGGGGATAAGAAGTAAAATTTTGTCTCGAATAAAACACAGAACAGAAATAAATTTTTTTTTAAGGGGACGGACGGGTGCGGGGATCCCCAACCCCATCCCCATATGAGATTAAAAGACTCTAATGCAATGATGTGGAGGGGCAGCGGCATTTAAGATCAGCATCGGCATTTTAAAAGTAAAGGCACTGTAGTCTTAACCTTTGGAGATGTCAAGAATTTGACCTGCCTATATCCCTGCCTGCCGTCACCCAGTAACCAGAGCGGACAACTCACCCGGCACATCCGCACGCTCCACCTCCCTGCTTTCACTCACCCAGCTGTCACTGTTCTATCCCTCCTTATTTATTACTCCATTGTCACAACCAACCAAAATCCACTGCGTAACAATCCCACAGTTACACCCAACAGGAATCAATCCTTCTTGGCCACATCACCAACAACAAGTCAATAGAATGTATTTTATTTTATTTATTTTTGACATAACCACAGTTTAATTCTTTAAGAAGAACAACAGTAAATTATAAATTAGTCCCTTTAATTTCAAGAAATAAATCAATTAGTCCCTTTTGTTTTAAAAATTAATTATTTAATTCCTGTATTTAAAAAAAGAAAAAGAAGAAAAAAAGCATGTTACCGTCACGGTTAAAAATACACTTCAGTCCTAGTAATAAGCTAATAGCTATATCTATCTTGAAGTTTTCAAAAAGTTTTGAAGTGAATCCTTGACAAATTTAATAATAATAGTAGTAAATTCTTCACAATAGTTAAACACCCGAATTGTCACAATTTTTGGTTTCTTAAGAGATCTATTGAACTCTTAATAACATTTAACTGAAAATTAATGATGCTGTAATATCATTTAGCATGAGAAACACCTTTGACACAGTGGTTCACGCAACAAACTCATCAAGATCAGACTACCATTTCTTTTTTTAAATATACGGACCAGATTGCTCGATGCACTGATATAAATTGACATGCGTTACACCGGATCATCATCATCACACTCACTGATGCTTTTAGCCTTCGCCTTCAATTTCACACCAGCAAGCAAAGCAAAGCAAACACTCCACTAAGATCTACTAGCTGTAGCATAGCACCAACCGCCATCTCCTTTAGAAGGAGCGAAGGAAACCCATTTGGTGAGAGTTGAAGGGGTGAGAAAATGGCTAGTGGGGGTGGATATGGAGATGCGAGCCAAAAGATAGACTATGTATTCAAGGTGGTGTTGATAGGGGACTCAGCAGTTGGGAAGTCCCAAATACTTGCTCGATTTGCTAGAAACGAGTTTAGTCTTGACTCTAAAGCTACTATTGGTGTGGAGTTTCAAACTCGGACTTTACTTATTGATCATAAGAGTGTTAAGGCCCAGATCTGGGATACTGCCGGTCAAGAACGGTAACCCCTGTTTCTTTCTCTCTGACTCTCTCTCTCTCTCTCTCTCTCTCTCTCTCTCTCTCTCTGTCCTTGTTTCTGTAAGGAATGCTAAGAACTGCTTCGTCATTGTTTTGCTTTTTTTTTTTTTTTGGGCTAGTTTAGATGTGACATGGGCTTTCTTGGTTAATGATACGACGTTGTGATAGATAGTTTTTTAATTAATTTTTTATTTTTTTGGTTTTAAAGGTTAGGGTATCCTCAGGCCAGCTTTCGGGCACCTGGCTATCCATACCTTGGTGTGTTTGGTCTGTGAATTGTATGGTTTTTTTTTAATACATGGATTTGGGAAAGACTGTTTGCAGCAAATGTGGAATTGGTTATTTTAGTACATGGAACGTGAGTGTTAGATTTGGAGTTTAAACAGGTGGAAGATGTTATATTACGAATGCGCATTGTGTTTGATCCGGGAGTAATCAAATGAGTGTGTGTGTGTATATAGGAATGCAGTTCTAGTTCTTAAGTACGTAAATTTTGACATTTGACTGGTTTTGCTTAGCTTGTTTGTTGTTTTTCGTTCATGAATGGCAAACTTTAGGATGCAAATTTGATCCGGCTCTAAGTCTGCGATTTAAGACTGGATATGTAAGTGAATTGATTTAACATGGACTGTGCTGGATCTGAAGCTGGATCATAGTGATATTTGTTAGAATAGATCTTGATACATGACTCTTTTAAATCTCTAATGGATTTAAAATGTTTGCTACATTTTCGGCCACCCCAACTGCCTTTTTGGTGGGTTTTTTTTGGGGGTGTGGATTATAATTCTTTTTGTTTATAGTGTTGATATTTTGACTGGAGAAAAGGTGGCCTTTGGCTTGAGTCGTTTTTGAAACAAGAATTAATTACGTTGTTTAAAGCTGCTTTTGGTCAAGGTATGGATCCAGCTTATGTCACTGTTCTTTTGTTTATCCTCACAGAATAAGATATCTTTTGTGGGGTTTTCTCTTTCAGAACATAGGCCGCTGAAAGCCTCAGTATTTTTCTTATTAGTTGACATTTAGTTGTTAGAGCAATGGGAATTTAGGAATTTCAAAGAACTTTGGGATATTCCGAGGAATGATATTATACTGTAAGGTTTTGTTTGAAAATTGTTTTTAAACTAGAGAGATCTTTATTTTAAAGCATCTTTTGAGCCATAACTTACTTGGGGATCAATTCTTGAAATATATTCTGTATATACAAGTTGGTTAGAGATGCATGTCATATTTGATGACTAATACTTCTTTAATAATCTTTTGGGACCCAGGCAGATAATAATTATCTGCTTTGAGAAAAAGGAATAACTTAGTGGTAGCCTGATTAGATCTTACTCTACGTGCTTAAAACACAAAATTTTCTGAATTGTTTTGTTCTTACTATGGGAAAGAAAGGATATTGTCTTTCTTTGTGACAGAATAGATGTCACGTTTTCATAATTAGCGAGTATTGATTTCTTCTTTGCCCTTGGGGTTCAATGAACAGGTACAGAGCAGTCACAAGTGCATACTACAGGGGTGCTGTTGGGGCAATGCTGGTGTATGATATAACCAAGCGTCAGACATTTGATCACATACCACGGTGGTTGGAAGAGCTGCGTAGCCATGCTGACAAGAACATAGTTATCATTCTTATCGGAAACAAAACTGATTTGGAGGACCAGCGGGCCGTACCCACTGAGGATGCCAAAGAATTTGCCCAGAAGGAAGGACTATTCTTCTTAGAGACCTCTGCATTGCAAGCAACTAATGTCGAGAATGCATTTATGACTGTGTTAACAGAGATCTTCAACATTGTAAACAAGAAGAACCTGGTTGCAGGTGAAGATCAAAGCAATGGTAACCCTGCATCTCTATCTGGCAAGAAGATTATCGTTCCAGGCCCTGCACAAGAAATTCCAGCGAAGAGCAAGTGTTGTACCTAATCATGGTTTGATCAGTCTTGGCTTTGAAACTGCATGCTACTCCTTAATATGTGCTCCCAATAGCAAATTTTTTGAAAGGTGTGATGTATTTCTTTGTAAATTTTACGTTCTTACGTTCTTATAGTGTCTTGCATGAGCAGCTGATTAGTTTTGTATTTTGAGGTGAAGCTGAGTTGCATAGTCTTCTCAATCTCATTCAGAAAGAAAAATTTTCTTAGTGTCTGTGAATGTTTTGAGTGCATTAAATACCCCTGCTTCGAATTTCCCTAGTGTACAATAATTTTGATTCCCTAAATTTTTTTAAGGCAGAATACTTTTAATGGCCTGAGAGATTTGCTACATGTTGGTCATTAGAAATTTTTACTATTGGCAAGAGTTTGAAGAAATTATTTTTTGGTTCAATTAGCAACGCTTAATTTCAGAAATGTTTATAGCATTTTTGCATGAAGAATTTTTTCATGCGATAAAAGGAAGTAGAAGTTGCATGAAGAATTTTTTTTTCATGTGATAAAAGGAAGTAGAAGTTTGATAATACCGGTGTAAATAGAAAAAATCAATCTTGTTGTGAAAAATAAAATAAAATGACAAAATTTATGTAAGAAGTACAAAAAAATTAAAATGTTTCATACTCATTATAAATACGCATTTGACAACCAAAATGACAAAACATAATTTAAAAATTTATGCATATAAATATTATACGGGATATGAAGCTAATGGCTTGGAGGTTACAGCATTTGTCTCCGGCTCTCCGCCTCCATCCACCTCCATACTCACCTGACACGTAAAATTCGGCCACCATACCACCTCCATCGGTGCCTGTGCATCATACATGCAGACTTCATCGGAAGGACCCGGCCCCCTCATATTTCTATTCAGCTGCCGAAAACAAGCTAACTTCGACGCCCTCTTTACTGATCGTTTGCCAGTTAACATTTTAGAATGCAACCAAGTTTGTAAATTTCACGTCTTTCCCTCCTTTCCTCACATGAGCTTTTATCTATCTGCTCTTCCACTATTCTTCTATGGTTTAGTCATTCACTTGTACGGCTTTCTTCGTCCATTTAGAACTACATACAATTCATTCTTTCATGGAATTTGATTACTTGAGTATGTTGAATAACTAGCTGCATTATGTAAATCGTGAAATTTTCATTCAAAAAATACAAAACCTTAAAAACATTTGGTACCCAAAAGAGGCCAAAATGAAAGATATGATGTACCTACTATAAAAAAAATTCCAAAACTGGTGAAGGTAGATTAGAGTACAAACTCAAACGTTGCAATAACTTCAAGCATCTGCAACAAGTTCAGTAATTTCAGATTCCTCAACCTTGCTAGCTCCATTAAGCTGCACTTCATCAGCATTGACATTGCTTTCTTGCACTGAAGCGCCTTTTTCGGCATCCATGCGAACTGAAAGCCTTTCTAGCAATTCTTGGCAGTCAATTGCTGTAACCATCACGCCCAGATTAGATCTACCCTTCCAGCAGCCTATAGCTATTGTTGAAGCATCCACCTTGATAGGATCTGACATGGCTTTGCTGTCTGCAAACAAAAACGAAGTGATAAATACAAAATCATGCACTGATAGCGCCACCATGGTAGGAAATACTACAGACCTCGCATGACTATTACGCAGCAACCCATCATTAGCTTTGATGCCTTCTCACCAAACTCAGCATCAACAAAGTCGGCAAATTTTATTGCTTTATACTGCAAAAGATGCTTGAAATCTACTGGGGATGCATATAGGATCTGTTTGGTGATGTGTGGAAGAATCACTGGCAATCCTTCAGATGATATCCTGAATGAACATGGGGCAGAGGTACCTTCTCTTGAAGTTTGTCGCTCCTTTAAAAGAAAAAAAGAAAGAAATAGATCAAGAAATAAACAATTCTCTGTTAAATCAGCCTAGGCGACCACCTTTTTTGGGTAAAAATAAACATATGGTATAGCTGGTGGTGGTAGTACTTTTGATTGACTTGATTTACTAGCACAATTTTTGGCAATTGATACATTTATTGTATTGTGGCAAGGTAGCTCGTGGCAGGGGGTTGTAGCCTGGTAGCTAAGAAACTTCAGAGTATGTCAATGAATATGGGAGAGCGCACAAAGAGAGGGAGGGAATGGGGAAATAGCTGTGGCTGTGGGCTTTTGAAAGAAAAAGCAACATACATAAAATAATAATAATAAAAAAAATAATAATAATGTCAAAATAGCATGTAGATTACTTACAAACATCTTCAGGCCGATTGAAGCTATCTTAAGTTGCTGGCCAACACAGAAATTCAACCCAAGAACATCCTTAACTGATTTTGAGACATAGTAAATTCTCTTCACATGGTTCTTATCACTATTTCTTGAGATTAAGTGACCATCAAAAGGAAATGACTCATCGATCCCATAGAACATCTTTATGCTATTGATAATAGCTTCATCTTTAAAGAAAAGAACAGGGTCAACCCCTTTCCATTTGCCTTGAATTTGCAACTTTCTCTTCCCTACAGCCTTCCCAGAGTCAGTTTCCCCATTAACCAGTGTTTGGGCTTCCTCTGAATCATTTTGGTCAGATGTATTGGAAGGATCAGGTTCCATAGCAGCTTCATCTGGCTCATTAACAATTAAATCTGCCTCTGAGGCTGATTCAGAAATTTTTTCTACTGCAGCATCTCCGGAATCTGGCTCCAACCCATTGTTATCTTCAGTAATCTGATCTGATATTTTTTCTTGCAGTTCAGGATTCTTCTTTAACCAATTCTTTTTCTTACTGGGTTTCTCCTGAATGGCTACAGGAAAATCATAAAGTGGTTATAATATAAAGAGCGTCTAACATGCAAAGCAAAAGAAGAACAAAGAGACAGAGGCATCCTTCAAAATAGATCCAAATCAACATTTATTTCAAGTACGGATTCAGCATTTTGCAAGTGTGGAAGATGAAATGAAAGTGGTATGAGCAAAGGGGCATCATCTCTAGAACATAGGATAAGGGGGGATCAGTAGTAATCAAGGATACTGGCTACTAGGTCCAACTAGCCTACCCCTGCTTAAATTCATCATAATAATATGATGCATCAATAATGCTTAAATTCACCTGGTAAGGGAGATAATTTCTTGAGGACAGCAATGAAAAAGGCCCCACTGTTCTGATCATGAGGCATTATCCTCATACAACGTTCCAGGGGAGATCAGAAACTTCCTCGATCAAATCTTCGGTAGAAGTATCCTCCATTGGCTGCAGCCCAGCTTCAAAAATCGCACTTTTACCATTCTCGTGCTCAAGGTCCTTGTTGGCTGGGGCAATGTAGCTTTTGCCCGAAGGAAACATGCTGGGAAGTATATGGTATCTGTGGAATTTGGAGACATCTTTGTGGGAAGCTAACCAGAGATCTTTGTCACGTACCTAGACCCAATAACCATAAATTATATCATATACAATTAAGAAATTGAAAGCAGAACTTATAAAAATGCTAAACTACTGCCCACTGAATAATTCCAACAAAAACCAGTCAGAACCCAAACAATAAACATCCATTTCATAATACCATATACATTTTAAGTTTTTTCTAACAGGCAAAAAGCTGGCTAAACTGACATATTCAAACCAACCCAACTATGCCTTTGGTAGGGTGAACATGAGACAAAAGACAAACCAAAAGATGAATATCCTTCTCAGATGGCAACAGTATTTGATAGCACTCAAATATAAAATCTTAATCCAGCTTTATATATATCAAAAACTCCTCCTAACTTCATGTCAAAGGTACACAATTTAAATGCTGATTTGGTTTGACTATACTCTAAAGGAAACCCATCATTCAATTGACAACATCCAAAGTGAGATGAATATGCTTAACATCAGAATGTCTGACAAATGAGGAAAAAAATCATCATTTTGTGGAAATAAAGTGGCATTGCCAGAAAGATTGGAAAAAAAAAAAAGTAGCAGGCAAAAAATCTTTTGGCAGTTGTATCTTCAATAGAAAATGGACTTCACAAAAATAGCATACCTTCCATTTTCTGACACCAGGCCGACGGACAAGTTGAGGAAGTTCAGTGGAGACGTCAACAAGTTCAACGGACCCTCCACATTTCCGTAGAATCTTAAGAAAAACAGACACAAGGCACCAAAATGAAACAAGTTTTAGAATTATTATTGTCATTTAAAAAACAAAAAAAAACAGAGAGAGAAACCATTGTCAAAGAAGTCTAAAGGTTATATACTTGTGAATATCTAATAGATTACCTCAGCAACCACAGCCTCATTCTCAACTGGATTCATTGAGCAAGTTGAGTACACCATTCTTCCACCAACTTTAAGCAATGATATGCCTGTGCATCACAATATTATGTATATCAAATCTAGCTGGCGTGCACCTCTAATTGAGACAAATCCAGGCATATGAACTCAAAATCCGAGTATGAATGACTGAGGAGAGCAGCATTCTTTCAGAACTACAAACCCACATTCAATCATCATAACATTTGGAGTTAAGCCAGAAACGCAATCCAGCATTCTTACACTTTATAATGTACCATTCTTAATGCAAGTTGGATCAGATTTCATTCAAATGAAAAAAAAAAAAAAAAGATTTAAGTGTATAGAAGCTTGACAATATGCCTATCTATGTCAGCAAAATGCTGAAATTATGAATCCAGCAGAAAACATGTAAGAAAAAGAAAACATTGCAATTGAATGATCCCTCATTATCTCATGTTGAAATACAGCTGCTACATGAAGTTCAAGGCATCAAGAAAGAACCTCCACAGATTCGATTGTCAAAGTTAATGTATACTGTTATGGGAGCCAGCAATACAAATAAATATTGCTTGCTGATTTTTGGAGGGCCACTGTCAATAAGGGTCACCATACATGATGCGGTATAAGTATTGTCAAGTTATTTATAATTGCATTAACTCTGTAATTTCATCCTTAGGAGGTTTCCATATTCTGAGATTTTAATATTAGGAATTTAGTATTATTATGACTTCTATTTAATTAGGATTGTAGTTCCGAGTTTATTAAGAATCTTTTGGGGTTGTTTTGTCTGCATACATAAGCACACTTATTCCTTGTATTTGGAGGCAGTTTTGATGATGAGATCTCCTCTGGTTTTTCTGCTCTTGTGGATTCAAAGAACACTATTTCTTTGTGGATTCAATTTCCTACCCTGTCCTACATAAATATGCTTTCTGGGCCAGAAGCTGATTGTTCCAAGGCAGGGAATATGCAGCCATGGGATAACAGAATTAATTGCTGTTGTTCTCACGTGAGAGCATTGCAACATGAAACAGAGCCAATTTTCTAGGTTGTGTCAACCTTAACATGGAGATTAAAATACTTGGTTTGAGATTTTATTTCTAGAAGCACAGACTCTTGAGCAGGAGAGCATCACAATTGCCGCAATTTCTTCAATACCCTAAAAAAGGTGAGTATTTAGGTAAACTTTCTAGACAATATTGAGTTTTAAGAACCTTATTTTCATTCTAGAGTTCAAGTTAGTTCGTAGCTGTCCTTTTATGGCAGCAGAAAGTTCCAAGACTTTCTATTAGCTTCTTAAACTTTGGCAAATGGAATAGTGTATTTTGGCTACAACAGGTCATGTTGCCCTCTCCTTATCCCTTATTTTCACACCTATTCTTCCATCTTTCTCTGAGGATAAACACTACAGCACTCAGCCACCAGATTGTCATTTATCATTTTCAGCAATCCCAATATTTACCCCATTCCAGTACAACACACCAGCAATATTCCCTTGCCTTTTTCTCTTCAATTCACCAAACAAGTACATGCCAGGAACCTAATTCTGTAGCTACCATAAAATTCAAGAAACCAAATTCTTCAAATCTAACCCTCCTGTCGCCTTTAAATCTCACCCAAATTCAAATGCTATTTAAACCACAAGCCCCATATCAGCTCTTCCGGAAATCAAAGTCTTAAAATCCCAGATCATCTAGATGTAGCAAACCATATTAACACAGGTGGACAGACTAGACAACTATGTTCTACATCAAAAGAAGCCTTTGGGGTTGGAAATTGACAACTACGAACTATCAACCAGTAAATTTGCAGGACATGATCATATGGCAGACTAGTGCTTCTGTGGTTGCGCAACAATTAATGGTTATTAATCTTGGAGCATCCACAGAAGTAGAAAATTCAAATTTGAACTGACATGCTACTATCAACAGAATATCAGCCAAAAAGAGCCTAAAAGCTAAGGTTTTGAAATTGTAAAGAAATGTCAATTTAGAGGTTTTTCATGAAGATACCTCGCATCGCTATCTGAATTTGTAGACTATGGAGCCCATTGCCCATTCCTGTATTCCTGTATTAGAGGGGAAAACAGATATAATCCACTATGCGTGCTCGTATAACATAAACACAAGAAAGTACATGAGAAAATATTCCAACCATTTCCTCCACATATCTGGAGCCTTGCGGAGGGTACCATCTCCACTACAGGGAACATCACATAACACTCGATCAAAGAGAAGCTGACTGATCTGGGGCTCGAATTCCATTTCAGAAGCTTTAGAGCCATTTTTGTCTGAACGGCACCCAGGGAAGTGTTGGGCTTCATTATTTGAGACTAACAAGTTGGCAGTGCACATTCTTTTTGTTTGGTGGATGAGAAGATTACATCTCTGGACATCCAGATCATTTGCTAGAACCTAGACAAGTAAATTAATATTAGTGATGGTGAATCAATTTCATATTCTAACATTACAATGAAGTGAATGAAACAAATCAGCCAGGAGGTTCCAAGTACTGATACAATTCAGGGTAAAGAAACAATTAAGCAAAATAAAACAAATAGATGAATCAATAATAAAATAGATCAGAATGTGAAACAAGAAAAAGAAACAAACCATTCCATCAGGAAGTGATCCTGGCTTTGTTGATTGGTATATAATCTCCAGCAACTGGAATGTTTTTGAACCTGGTGCAGCACACACTGCATAAAAGGAAAGAAAGCAGTGAGGAAATACTAGAGGGTATTTGATATTTTCTATAACATGCAACGCATGTCAACTGCATAAACAAAATTAGGGGGCAAAGGGAAGAGATTTATGTGTCTGCTACAAGTAACTTCAAAAAGTAAACCATTGGGATATCAAATTTTTTTTTGGTAAGAACTGCTTTAAATACATCAAACTTAATTTCTAGAGAAAAAAAAATAGTAACGGAATCATTTAGATAGAGTGATGATTGGTTACTTGTATTACAAAAGGAATAATTAAAAAAAAAGAATCAGAATGCACTATAAGTGACTTACTATCAAGTACAAAATGATCTGGACATACATCAAGGAAGAGTGGCGGTACCTGTATCACAAACCAAAAATTTAGTGTTAGGATTAACTAATGAGCAAGGGACAAGAGTCAAGGTGCTCGTTCTTAAAGGACAAAACAACTGAAAATCATTATGTAAACCCAATATTAGACTTGCCCACCATGCTGACAGCCTCCTGTCTGGTTATGTTTCCAATTTCATTTTCTAGCTTTAAGAACTCATGGAACCTGAAATAATTTTATCAGAATCACCAGTTGATAAATAAAGATAAAGAAATTAAAATCATTAAATCAGTTGATTTAATTAGGCGCAGCTCGCACATATTTTACACATGTTGTAAGCACTAAACATGAAAACCAACAATTCATATACAAGTAGGAGAAATATGATCCTAATTGGTTGCAGAAAACTTTTTCCATTTTCCATCTCACTCTCTAATTTTTCTTTTCCATGAAAAACTAAAAAAGAAATATTCATTTGTTAAAAATGGAAAGGCCATTGCTCCGAAAAATTACCATATAAAATTATGTATGCATTTTTCAAAGAATAGAAAGCATTTTTGCCCACTGAAAAATTCATAATTGCAATTGGTTAGAATATCATTAACCTAAATGAAAAACACAGAAAACAACTAGATTGATTTTCAGAAAGACATTAAAAAATGTTTGAGGTGTTCTCCAAGATCTAACATAAACTCGAGAAATTTGATAGCAATAATTCCAATTCTTTGTAAGAAAAATATAAAGTAACTGAACATAGTATGTGTGCCCCTGATGGTGGGAAGTTGTTTATGGCACAGTCTACGCCAACGGCAGTAAGTAAAATGAATGCATTGCACACGTCAATTGCAAGTGACTTAAAATTGAATTAAAAAAAACAGACCTTTTGTAACTCCAGAAACAAGAAAGGAAAGAACAGAATTAAGCAAATGTCAACATTATCAGATAAATGTATTACTTCAGGAAAAAAAAAAAAAAGATAACATGGTCACAACAACTCAAGCAGCCAGTAATTTACAATCATGAATTGCATGATTCACCTCTCAAGGGTTTGGTTCTTCCTTAGCTGCATCCGGGAGTAATTTGAATGCCAAGCAAGATTATTAGGGTACCAAGGCAAAGGTCTGATAGCCTCCACTTCACCACCATCAGTGTTCTGTAGAAAATGACAAAAATGAGGGGGAAACAGTAGGGTATCATCTGTAACAACCAAGATTTGACAATATAATCATCAAAGGTGTCATAGTTTCAACATACATAAATATAACTTACCTCTGCTTTGAGAGAATGCATAAAGTCATTCTCAAGCTGTGATTTGATATCTTCACAAAATTGGCTACTGCAAAAGTGAAAAAGAAAGAAAAATCTCAAGGTTTGTAACCTTTCCCCATACTGTAATTTGCATTTTCAATGTCTGAAGTCAAAGAGGAAGGTATGAAGAACATGGAAGACCTTATAGATAAACCATCAAAATGCAGTGCTTATGCTCATTAATTGCCCATGTACAACTTGCAGCATCTGAATTCAATCCAAAACTCAGAGGGAAAAAGGACCTTACAACCACAAGTATCATTTCCCTCCATTTCATTCTTCCTAGGACCATATTTTGTCAAACAACAGTCGACCTTACTTCCCACCTCCCAGTTTCCTTGTCTTCCTCCAATCCCTAAAGCAACCTCCAATTGAAAAAGATGACCTTACGTTGCCACCATTTAAATTCTTCTTTCATCCAATCACGTCCAATTCACTTAAAACAGAACTAAATAGCAACCTTATATTAGGAAAATCATCTTATGTGAATCTACCATTCTTACCTGCCCTAGCTAGTCTGTTGCATGTAAACAACATGGACAACTACAAAACCCCAAACTCTTCATGTCCTAACTCCTAACTTCAAAGTTTGCCTCTTGAACTTGAAACAAATATTAACTTTACATATTTTTACTGATACAGCATGCAGTAACAACAATTACAAACACACCCAAAAGGCCAAAAGAAAGAATACCCAAAAATTTAAATAGCAAAGAAACCAAAATTTTACCTTGAATTGATTCGAAAAGCAGCAGGCAAGGGTGTTCTAAGAACTTCCACAAAGGTATCCCATTCTTCAGCTGCCACTATCCCTTGCTCCTGTCAAAAAAGTATATATACACATATATATCACTTAAACCCCACCAAACCAAACCAAACAAAATCCATATTTATTCTCAACCCAAAGAGAAACAAGTATTACCTTGTAGTATTCATCAAAGGCCGGGTTTTGAGTTGCAAAAGGTTGCCAATGAGTCTTATTCTCAGAGTTGTTGTTGCTGTTGGGATTGGAAGAGGCACTGTCAGATTTAGGGCGTTTCCAAACATTCTCTCTGCCATCACGAAAGTGCTTTCTTTGAGTTCGTGACCTGCTTCCTCTTCCTCTCCCTCCCATTTTTATGTTGAAGACTGCTCCTGGTGCTGCTTAGCTCTCTGTACCTGGGAATTTTGTTGTTAGACTAGGTTTCTTCTGTCCGGGTCTAAGGTTATAACTCCAGACGACGTGTGGTTTTACAATAAATCTCAGATTCTAATAAACGACCTGTCTCTTGGACTACTAAGCTTTCGAATCAGCCTAATGCATGAATGAGCCCATTATTATAGCCCATGTCCACTCGCTTATGTCTCTATCTAAACCCATTGTAAGCCCCTTTTTATATTCTTTTTCGTGCCAAAGTTGACGAGATTGTGATTGCCATCTTGTTTCCAGTTTTTACCAAGGCTGGCAATCCGATTACAATTACAAAATACCCTAAAAAAAGGTGGGGGTATTAACTGGTTAGTCATTGTTTTTAAGTTCTTCATCAAGACTGAATTTACCATGGATCAATACTCTCGTTGCCTCTCTGTCCTATTTGGATATATTCATTTTACCCAACTCAATAATAGCCATTAAAAATGTTCAATGGGCATTCAATATATCCCCAGTCACATCCAGTCCGTGCGAATAATAAGAGTAAAAAAATAAATATCTATTAATATGATTTCAGAGTATGCATATTTACTCTTTACTTTATTAATATTCATTAATTTATTTAAATTTTTTTTATTAATATGCAGAGATCTAATTACATAAATTTTAAAAATTAATGATCAAAATATTTTGTTTTGAAAACTTTGAGGATAAAAAAATAATAAATGACCAAAATGAAAAAAAAAATTTAAGGATCAAAAAACTTTTCTTAAAAATTATAAGAATTAAAATGAATATTTTTGATAAATTAAATTTAGTGGGTCTTTAATGAGTATTAATTAGAAGATAAACTAGTATGAGTCAATATAAGTTGAGTAAAGATTTATATGATGATTTTTAATAAATAATAGGTATTGTAATTTTTATGAGTAGGATAAAAATTGAATTAGTAGGTCGGGTATTTACCCATTGCTATCCCTAGCCCTATTGATTTGTGTTCCTTCTTTCATTATTTTTTCTTTGTTCATGCCTTTTCTTGCATTCTCTTTTATTTTTTTTATTTTTTTTTCTGGATTTCATTTCCCCTCTTAATCTACACCTTTTTTATCGTGTGTTTAATTTCTTCTTTATCATTTGGTGCTGCTGTGGTCTTACGTCTGTGTGCCCTTTTTCTTTGTTTTTTTAAGTCATTTTATGCCCTTATTGGTCAGTTTCGTGATGGTTGTCATAGAGCATTTAATGCTCTAGTGTAATGGTTCTGCGCCATGAATTCTTTTACAATTTCCTTTCCCAGTGTACTTCTATAAATTAAATTTTTATGTTAAAAGAAAAAAGAGTTTTCCAACTTAAGCCCAAGCCTCAAAGTAGTATTTTAGGTTTGGGCTTAATCTTAGAAAACATGTCTATTTTTTAAGTCGAATCATAATTGGGTCTATATTATTTCAAATTAGGTCAAGTTGGGCCTATGATATTTTTTATTTTCTTTTACCTAACTAGACTAAATTCCATGTAATCATTTTTTTATATAAAAAGGCAGGTAAATTGAGGTTAAAGTTCTAAAATAAAATAATATATATTTCAAAGTTCTAGCGAGACAAATTGACTTTTTTAAAAATTATAATTGGAGACTAGACTCAAATCCTTTCTTGAGGAAAAAGAAAAAATAATGTTATTTCTCTCATACATATATACAAAATTTGCTTAAACTTCGTATGAAGATACAAATTTAAGTCAATTTTTTTAACGACAATGCTAAGCTTATTTATCTTCTTCAAAATAAGATATATAATTCTATTTAATGCTTTAATCAAGTTTTTGTTTCTATTTAATTCTTCGAAAATTTTGAAGTGTTAAAAGAGAGGTTAAAATTCAAAACCTTTTAAGAAAAAGAAAATGTAAGTATTAGATGGAAGGCCACCCTTGAAGATGTCGAGACTTAGGACAAGATTTCCATCTATATATTCGGAGAGAAGGCTGCAAGAGAGTTGTCCTTGTTGTGAAGGAAATTAACAAACATCATAACTAAAGAGAGGTGAGGAAAATGAGCAATAATTTTTACTCTTCACCAACCTCACACATCACTATGGATGCACTGCAACTAAAGGTGGCATTTTTGTGATTTTTAAACTATTCTTGGACATTCATATTTGAATTTTATATCATGTTTTACTTTAGTCCTTAAAGGTTTAAATAAAATTTTTTAATCCCTTGGTGTAACACTTTAGACCTAGATAGGACGTGGATATTACTAATATTGACTTTACATTCGAAGTGCAATGAATACAAACCAAAAAGCCTCATTCTTGTCCTTACGAATGCGTTAGTAAAAGTGAACATGAGGTCCATATTGAGTATGAGATACTAGTTTCATCTTTACATAATTTGGATATAAATTTTTCCTCCTTAACTTAGGTTCGATTAAGCCTATTACTAATTTCATTTAGGTCTACATTGGTTTTTTTTAGGTCTTTACTCATTCTTTTTAAACTTCCTCTAATAATTTAGCATTTACATTTTCCCTTGGTCCCGACCTCATTATTTCTTCCTAACACCTTACTTTTATATTAATTTGCAATCATTTTCTTAATCTTTTCAGTTATATCATCCTAGCCATATTAGTCATTTTAAGCATCCAAGCTCTATAGCTAATAAGGTTAATACAACCATAACCTAACATTCAAATAACCTTTTTCATTTATACCAATGTAATACTTATTTAATTAATTTACATACATACCCAAAAAATGTCTTACTTACTATGCATATACCAAAAATCAAGTTAAGCTATATAGATTCCCATACTCACTAACCCAAAGCACGCAAAATGGGTAAGTCCATCACTTGTTTTGACGACACATCATTCATCCTTATCTTCTCCTACACTATAAAAAAATGATGGTGAGCAACGTAATGCTTAGTAAGTATAACTCATGCAATGCATGTGATGTTTTTATGCATGAATGCACATGATGCAACTTTCATAAAATCTTGTCATGCCTTTGAAAACCATTTTTCTTTTCCTTTTTGGGTGCACCCTTTTCTTTATCATTTCTTCGGTTGGGGCCTCACCAAATCCCCTAACTATCGAGGCCTTTACCAAATCCCTCGACGAAAAGTTCCCTTTACCACTTTCTTCGATTACAACCTTTACCAAATCCCTTAACTCAACAAGGCCTTTACCGAATGCATCGATGAAGAAATGGCATTATCATGAAAATCATGAAACCTTTTTCCTTTTTTTCTTTCATCAAAATCATGAATATAAATTCTTCTTTCATGATAATGATGTGAATGAGCATATGCATTTGAATGAAATGCATTGCAATAAATATGATCATGGCATGCATACCATTATATTCTCAAGAACATGTGTAAACATTATAAATTATTCACATGTTCCAAACAATTAAGTATGCATGCAACATGAACACATAACATGGACAATCCATAAACATGATGAATATCATATCCAAGCCAAATAAACAAGCTTCCTAACCATCAATTTTTCATATGAACATAATCATTCCCATTCCTCTTAATCCTCTAGACCTCACATTTGACATTTTCCTCTATGTCCTTATTTTTCATACTTAGTCAAATTTGAACTAAGTGCGGGACAACTCTCCTTCTTTCAATCTAGCCTTACGAATGTCTCTAAGACATTTCATCAAACATTTGGTAGGCATTAGACAAGATAACTATCAATTTATGCCTACTTGGGAGTTGTTCATCCACCTTGTTCCTAGAACAAAGACAACATCCAAACATAAGCTTTCAATCCATTCAACATCATCTTCCACACATCATAAACACATACACATCACAAAACCATTGTAATTCAACCATTAATATACAATTCTCAATAACACACTTGTTAACCCTTCATCATGTAAACTACAAATTAGCACTAAATCACACCTCCAAACATAAATTCTTATGGTGTAGGTGAGGAATTATACTTACCTCGCTTAGAACTTTGGCCTTTCTTCTTCTTTTCTTCCTTGACTCCTTCCTTCCTCTTCCTTTTAAAATTTTAGCCAAGTGGAGAATTCTTCCCTTCTCCTCCTTTCTTGATCCTCTAAGATGGTTTGAAGGCTAATTTAAGGTGTTTCTAAATGAATTAAAAGGTTAAGTTTGATGGTTTTTGAATGGTTGGAGTCTTTCTCTTTTTGACACGAGTTTTTCTCTTTTTCTCTTCTCTCTCCTCGACTTTCTCTTCTCTCAAGTCCGGAATTCCAAAATTTTCTCCCTTACGGTCAACTAATGGGTTCCTTACATTATTGGTATTTTACACTTTAGTCCTTCAACTTTCAATCCTTGCAATTTGACCATACAATTTCAGTCCATAATTTCATAATTTCTATCAATTTGGCCCTCATCTAAGCCAAAACCAAGGTTACTTTAAGTCCCTATGGTTTTTTAATTATTTCAATCAAGGACTTAAACCTTTAATCTTTGTGAATATACCATTAGGTTTTGCAATTACCTCTATGATAATGCATAAAACCATCAATTAAGGGTATCACAAATTTCTCTCATTCCATTAACCCATTTCATAAAATTTTAGTTATGATTCTTTTATTCTTAATTGAATTTCAAACTTACTCACTCATTAAATAAATGCACTTTTTATTAACTAACAAAACATCGAGTACTTCACATTTATATTTTTAAGAGGGTTTTAGGTTACGAATATTACACACGGATCGTCGCACGCTCAAGTCACGGCTTGCATTGGGTATGCTTTTGCAATCCCAAGCATGCAACTTGCATTGGACCTACTTTTGTCGTTATGCCTCTGCTTTTCTTTTTTTTTCTTTACTTTTTTTCCACCAATTTATGGTTTATTATTATTATTATTATTATTATTAAATTGGATGTGAAAAATATAAAAATTAATCATTATTTTTTTCCTACACAAGTTAACGATTATGGAATATATAGCATATATTTTTATATTTTAAAATCAATATATATATATA